GGCGGCGGCAACAATACTACAGCGAGAATAAAAGTTATGCCTTGTTTCTTTGCGTGAACATTTGGGCGGTGTTATGCAAATCTTCCCACATCGTGATGTAGACATGTGGGGGCGTGTTAGAACGATCCGTTTTAGGAAGGCGTGGTTGACTCTTAACTTTTATAAAGAATATCTCTTTGGATTTGAGACTTTAGTCTGTGCAACTTTACAGATCTTCTTTATGCACCAAGAGCTTGTAACACTCCAAAGAGAAAGGAAAAATTTAAATCGCATCATATGACCCCTTTAATTATGCAAATGTGAAAATAAAGCATCACTGGCACACATTGTTTTCCCAAATGCATGTTAAACAGCACACATCGTGAGCCGCTCGAGGGTAAATGAACACAGTGCTGCTCTTCACTCTGAAACATGCAGCGCATCAGACTTCAGTTGCAGTATTTTGTGGTTTGTTAAGCGTACTAAGCTAAATCGCAATATTGGTTTTAGCTCGATTGGCAGATGCTTTGCTAAAGCAATGGCGCAAAACACAATGTTAAAGATCTTTTATGCTGTCATGAGAAATATATATACAAAAATGTGGTATTATGAAACATCGGTTTTGGTTATCATTATGATAATAAATATGAAACACTGGCTACTGTGAATGGGAAAATTTGTAAAACTGCTTGTTAAGATAAAGTTTCAATAACATCAAATCATCAAAAAAAATCTGACAATAACGGTATCATAAATTATGCTAAAATCACACTAAAAACTAAAAATGTATTATGCTAATGTGTATGTTCAGATTCCACCAAAAAGGAGATTGGCTCTTTACTAAATGGCTGGACTATCATTCCTACAGTCGCCTTATTGAGCGTTAAAATTTCTCCCATTAATTTTTATATGAGTGTTCCTCTTCTTTTTCTGTAATGTCTCCACCTGTACTCACAGGGGCTTCCTAGTGGGCTAGATGACATGTCAGACAGAGAGGATCATGGTCACAGGTCAGGGAGTGAGAGCAGCACCTACAGCACCCTGAAAAAGAAAAAGAAGAAGCCCAAAGAGAAGAAGGAGAGGAAAACTAAACAGCGAAAGAAAGACGATGATGAGGACGACGATGATGACGATGATGGAAACATGAAGGTTCTCACTTAATAGTAGAAATGCTCTATTATACTCTATTAGCCATGAGAATAAATGAATAACAGTTTCTCATGTGACACCAGGAACCAAAGTCATCCAGTCAGCTGATGCAAGAGTGGGGTCTCGAAGATGTGCAGTATGCCTTCTCAGAGGACGACTATAAAACCATCACCAACTACAAAGCCTTCAGCCAGTTTCTTAGGTAGGATTTCAGTTTTCCTTCTGCATGGAAGTTCTAATGCCCTGCTGTCAAGATGTCTTGTTCTATTTTAAAACATTCCTTCTGGCAAATGCTAATGCCTGTATGAAGTAATGACATTATGGTGACAGGTTTTCTAATAATAGGCATTGAAACAAGATGTACTGTCTGACCCACACCATGCATGTCTACTGTAACCAGCATAATATTTAATTTGATAGACACTCTTTTAGTATATACTTCCGATTTCTGATTCATCGTGCCTGAGAACATCCAGTACTTGAGGTAAAATCACCACAATGCATGGCCTCTTATAAAATTTGCCACACAAATTTCAACTTCATTGTCTAAGAATAGTTTTTTCTTTGCAATTTTTTTTGTGGACAGGCCCCTCATTGCCAAAAAGAACCCCAAGATCCCCATGTCAAAAATGATGACGGTGCTCGGAGCGAAATGGAGAGAGTTCAGCGCGAACAACCCTTTCAAAGGCACCTCTGCAACTGCTGTAGCGGCTGCGGTGGCTGCTGCCGTGGAAACTGTCAATGTGGCTCCGCCCATCTGTATTAGAAGTATCCAACAGATCTCACCATCTGGGCCAATCAAAAAAGCCAAAACCAAAGAGGGAAAGGGTAATTTAATGTTCTTTTTGTTGATGTTATATAGGGGTTTATATCTAGGATCAGATTTCCAAAGCAGTTAGTGGAGGCTTTTACATTGTTTACATACAGTATGTAACATGATTAATTATTGGCTTTTGGCAATTCTTTATTTAAATGTGTTTGGTTTTTCACTTACACGATTGCTTTAGTGTAACTTTGAAACTTAAAAGTCAACTGTGTAATTTTATCCTATGAATAGCTTATTTATAGTTGACCCTTCGATTTTATATGAAGTAATTTAACATCAAAATATTAAGTGCGCATATGTGTTTACAAAAAAACCAAAACAGATTTGCAAATGTAAAATGTGTTATATGTATGTCTGGAGAATGGAGTATTGTTCTCAGATCTCACAAAAAAAAATGTTGCTGTTTTGTTTATCTCATCTGGACTGCATTGCAGGGCCTGGCGCTAAGAAAAAAAGTAAGCCAGTGAAAGAAACAAAAAAGAAAGGGAAACCGAAGAAGTCCAAATCGAAAGCAGGCCAGGGTGGAAAAAGGAAAAAAGGCTCTTCGGTGAGAATGCGCTTTCACTGAAATCTTTCTAGGGCTTAACCTGTATCACATGGAAAGATTCCCCTTAGCTATTCAATTGAGAGAGAATTTTTTAGCTTTTCCACTTCCCAGAACAATTCATGGATCATTTGTATAGATATTCTTCCCAAGTGTTCTGGTTCCTCCCAGTTTTATTAGGTTCTTTCTAAAGTTGTTTTCCATGTTATGACCTTTTCATTTTTGATGAAGACTTATTGTGCCTTTTGCATAAACTGTCACATGAAATCATCCAGTTTGAGGAGTATGACCTAATTTTAGTGAATGGTTTAACTGTTTTAATGTCTTATTTCTCAGAGTGAGGAGGATTTCCTGGATGACTTTTCAGACTTTGATGACATCAGCATTCACAGTGCCTCTGTACGCTCAGATACTTCAGCGGCACCCAAGAAGAAGTCGACCCGCCGAGGACGGAAAAAAAGAAAAAGTTAATCTATTATTATTATTGTTGTTGTTAAATACACTACCTATATATATATATATATATATATAAATATAGCTATTACGCCAGTCTTCAGTGTCACATGATCCTTCAGAGATCATTCTAATATACTGATTTACTGCTCAGGAAACAAACAACAACTTTTTTTTGTTACATTATAAATGTCTATACTGACACTTTTGATAAGTTTAATGTGTTCTTGCTAAATACATGTATTAAAAAAAAATCTTACAGATGCTGATTCTTTGAACGGTAGTGTAAGTCTTGTTAACAGAATTAAAGTGTTGTTACATTGAAATATTGTTGTTAAAATTGTGAAATATTATGTATTTGAAATTGCACAGTACTTCTGTTCCATAAACTATTTAGGTTTCTCTTTGAACTCTATTGTTAAAGTAGGAGAGGATGGAGACGGCTACGAGACAGACCATCAAGATTACTGTGAGGTTTGTCAGCAGGGAGGAGAGATCATTCTATGTGACACCTGTCCCAGAGCATATCACCTGGTGTGTCTGGATCCAGAACTGGAGAAAGCCCCTGAGGGCAAATGGAGCTGCCCCCACTGTGTGAGGAAATCCCTCCCTGCTTCACAACAAGCATATACATGCAAAGAAATGCATTCTAGTACATTCAAGGCCACAGAAGCTGTGCTATTCAGACTGACAGTTTACTGCCTCATCTCTCAGGAAAAAGAAGGTATTCAGTGGGAGGCCAAAGATGATGAGGAGGACGAAGATGAGGTTGCTGGTGAGGAGGAAGATGACCACATGGAGTTCTGCAGAGTGTGTAAGGATGGAGGAGAGCTGCTGTGCTGTGACACCTGCCCTTCCTCCTACCACATCCACTGTCTCAACCCACCGCTTCCTGAAATTCCCAATGGAGAATGGCTGTGTCCACGATGCATGGTGAGAAACGTCTGTATGGATCAGTTCAGTTAAAATCATTCTCAAGAGTCTTTGAAATAGCTGAAAATTAGACTTGGCTTTTGAAAGAAATCCTTAATGCTCATCAAGGCTGCATTATTTAAATAAAAATACAGTAAAATAGTAATACTGTGGAATATTATTACAATTTAAAAGAACTGTTTCCTATTTTAATATATTATAAAGTGTAATTTATTCCTGGGATGGCGAAGCTGAATTTTCAGCATCATTATTCCAGTCTTCAGTGTCACATGATTCTTCAGAAATCATTCTAATATGCTGTTTTAGTGCTCAAGAAACATTTCTTATGAAATCAGTTGTGCTGCTAAATGTTTTTGTGTAAACCATCATGCATGATCATTTTTATCAGGATTTTTTGATGAATTTAATTTTTTTCTTTGATGAATAGACAATTTTGATCAATTTAATGTATCGTTTCTGAATAAAGGTATTAATTTCTCCCTCAAAAACACACACACACACACACATTAAAAAAAACATCTTACTGAGCACGATCGTTTTATTTAGGTCTGTTAGTACAGCTTCACAAAAAAAGGACAATTATAGTTGAACTAAAGCATTTTCATGACATTTAAAAAATAAAAATTATTATAAGTCTGTCTCAAATCCAACCTTAAAAGCACAAGTAAAAGCATATGTTGTTTTGAACATTTGAGCACTGTTCATCATCTATCATCCATATTTCCCCTAGTGTCCACCACTAAAAGGGAAAGTCCAGAAGATTCTGCACTGGGTGTGGGGCGATCCTCCTCTACCACCTGAGGTTCCTCTTGGGCAAGATGGAGAGAAGGTGGACAGTTTGACCAAAATGCCGCTGAAGGGTCGTCCAGAGAGGCAACTGTTTGTGAAATGGGCTGGGCTGTCCTACTGGCACTGCTCCTGGGTCAGCGAACTACAGGTGGGACTCCCACATTTCCTCAGCAAAGACATTAATTAAATCATGCATGCTTTTTTGGCTTGTTCCTGTATCTCTGATTAAGTTTCGGTTCTTTCCCTTGATGCAGTTGGAGCTATATCACACGGTAATGTACCGTAACTACCAGCGTAAGAACGACATGGATGAACCGCCACCGTACGACTATGGCTCCGGGGAGGAGGAGCTTAACAGTGAGAAGAGGAGGAGCAAAGACCCTCAGTATGCAGCCATGGAGGAACGATTTTACCGTTACGGCATAAAGCCGGAGTGGATGATCATTCATCGGATCCTCAACCACAGGTACATGGGCCACAGATAGTAGTGCTAATGCTATACTTCAGACAACATGCTTTTCATGCAGTAATTTATTGTATTATTATATGCCTTAAGACTGTGTTGTGTATGTTAAAGTTTTGATAAGGATGGAGATGTACACTACCTGATTAAGTGGAGAGATTTGCCATACGATCAGTGCACCTGGGAGGCTGATGACTTCCACATCCCAGATTATGACAGCTTTAAACAAGCCTACTGGGACCACAGGTAAGCCATGTCATTTAAATTTAATGTGGATTTAAATGGGCGCAAACACACATACAGAGCTTTCCATGAAGAGGTATTAAATACTGTAGCGCCTGAAGCTCTTAATAAATGAATTTTTAAATGGTCAGTAAAAATGTTGATCATTATCCTCAGAAGTTCATGCTAAAGGTTTTATTTTTATCATTTTTATTAATTTCATATAAGGCCTGCGATTTCTGCAACCCTGCCCTACATTTTTAGCAATAGACAACAAACAAGCATCCAAATTAAATACAGCATTTCTAAAATAAAACTAAAACTTTTCCAGAATGGGTAACAGGGTTTCTAAATTAAGCTGCCTCTCTAGTTATTTGCTAGTTTGGGACTAAATGTTGGTTAATAGCTATTTATAAACCTATTTACGTCAGTAAAAATGTTGATCATTATCCTCAGAAGTTCATGCTAAAGGTTTTATTTTTATCATTTTTATTAATTTCATATAAGGCCTGCGATTTCTGCAACCCTGCCCTACATTTTTAGCAATAGACAACAAACAAGCATCCAAATTAAATACAGCATTTCTAAAATAAAACTAAAACTTGGGTAACAGTGTTTCTAAATTAAGCTGCCTCTCTAGTTATTTGCTAGTTTGGGACTAAATGTTGGTTAATAGCTATTTATAAACCTATTTACCATAAATTAAAAATATTAATGAAAAATAGTAAATACTAAATAGTAAATTAAATTATTAATATTAAAAACAAATAAAAAATGCATATAACTACAATTAATTAATTTTGACTCGTTTTCCTATCATGCTCTAGAAAGTGTCCAAGTAGTATTTCATAGTATTTTTTAATGTTTAGATTATTAATATGCGTAATATTGTAATAGTAATTTTGTTATTTGTAATTAGATTTGAAAAGAATTACTAAAATTACATTACAAATATATTTTTCTTTTTTTATACAGTGAACTATATATCAGTTTTATGTAATTGTTGAAAGACAATATATGTGACAATTTAAGACAGTTATGTGATGTTTAAAACTTTAAAACTTTTTCCTAGATTCATGCTAGCATCCTAAAAGTTCTCAAAATAGAAAGAAAAAAAAACTGAAAAAATTGATTTGTGACTAAAATGAATAAATGAAGAATATTAAGAAATTTGTCACACAAAGTGTGTGAAAAGTGCCATACACTCACTGACTCTGATTTTACCAGGAATATGGTGCTCGGTGAAAGCCATCACCCCCTGCTGTTCAGAAAGGGAAAGAGACTCAAAGAGGAAGTAAAGAGGAGAGAACCTCCACCAGACACTCCGGTTGTGGATGTGAGTGCAATTACTATTTTACTTCATGAATTTATGCCTGAATTTATCTTGCTTTATGAATTTACACTTTTTCAGTTATTTGCGTAGACTGAATCTCAGTATCATTCTCTCTTTTTTATGTGCCATTGGTCACAGCCCACCATCAAGTTTGAACAGCAGCAATGGTACATTGATGACACAGGGGGAACTTTGCACCCATACCAGCTGGAAGGCCTGAACTGGTTGCGATTCTCTTGGGCCCAAGGAACCGACACAATCTTGGCTGATGAAATGGGGCTTGGCAAGACTGTGCAGACTATAGTATTCCTGTACTCACTTTACAAAGAGGTCTGGGCACCAATTGAACTTTTTCAAATGCATTTGAGAGAGGAAGGGAACAGAGTGTAACTGAGTTGCTTGTTTCAGGGTCACTCCAAAGGGCCATTTCTGGTCAGTGCGCCACTCTCCACTATCATCAACTGGGAGAGAGAGTTTGAGATGTGGGCTCCGGATTTCTATGTTGTGACTTATACAGGGGACAAAGAAAGCAGGGCTGTCATACGCGAGAATGAATTTACCTTCGAGGAAGTCAAATTGGGTCGCAAGGTTTTCCGCATGAAGGTAAGAGAGTGCGGTGGACTAGCGTCAACATTTTGATACATTATACCGTGTCCCATCCAAAAAACAATATTTTGCACCAAACCAAAACTGATTTACATCATCCTCTCACTGGTACCTGATTACATATTTCAACATCCTAACAATTTAAAAAGGATCCTAGTTTCTGAAAGGTTTCATTTAGAGGTGCCTTGTTTCTGATCAGAGTTTTTCATCACAGAAGGACACACCGATAAAGTTTCATGTCCTGCTGACGTCATATGAACTGATCACCATTGATCAGGCAATACTTGGCTCCGTTACCTGGGCCTGTTTGGTTGTGGATGAAGCCCACCGACTGAAGAATAACCAGTCAAAGGTACAGAATTCAAGGAAAGATTTATGACATCATCATATTCATAACAAAAAAATATATATAAAATATAATATAAAAAATCCAATGCAATTTATATGATTTAATACCAATGTTAAATATATAATTTAATACCAGTTTTTCCCAATAGTACAGATTTAAAAAATATATATTTTTATTCATTTTACTTTATATGTTTTCTTTCTTGTACATTGTTCAAAATAATAATATAAGAACAAATAAAAAGAAATATTCGTGGAAAATATCAGTGAAAAATTTTAAGATTCCAGTGAAAAAATATTATCAATTTTTTTTTACTTTTTGATCACCAATTTATATTGTTATAGATTCTAATCTATAAATTAATGCTCAGTTTTTCAGAATTCTGAATGGCTACAAAATCTACTATAAGCTGCTGCTGACTGGAACCCCTTTGCAGAACAACCTCGAAGAGCTTTTTCACCTGCTCAACTTTCTCACCCCAGAGCGCTTCAAGTAAGATTGCAGACTGCATGATTCACCTGGTGATTCATACTGTAGATCTGCTCGTAGAATAACGATCCCCCGCAGAGCGATCACGGGGCTTAGATTGAAACATGTTTTTCATATGATTTGATGGAAGTGAATTCTATCTTCCCTTATATCCAAATGAAAATGTGGTTGTGCGCAGTAACCTGGAGGGCTTTCTGGAGGAGTTTGCGGACATCTCGAAAGAGGACCAGATTAAGAAACTACACGACCTGCTTGGGCCACACATGCTCAGGAGACTGAAGGCAGATGTGTTTAAGAACATGCCGGCAAAAACCGAGCTCATAGTGCGAGTAGAGCTCAGCCCAATGCAGAAGTCAGTCTTGGTTTCTCTGTTCCTAATGCTACATCAATTTATTCATAAGATAATTTAATGTTTTTTTCTCTCACAGAAAATACTACAAGTTCATTTTAACACGTAACTTTGAGGCGTTGAATTCCAAGGGAGGAGGGAACCAGGTGTCTCTTCTTAACATCATGATGGACTTGAAGAAATGTTGCAACCATCCCTACCTGTTTCCAGTTGCTGCAGTGGTGAGGAGGGGAGGGGAGGGGAACATATGGAGGCCCCCAGTTTATATCACTGCAGTGCTTTATTGTTAGCACATGTAATGGCAATACATTTTCTGTTTTATAAGAGCTATTTAAAAACTTTTGTTCAGGAGTGTATTGTTTCTTATGTCTGCAGCGAATTTGATGCATAGTATTGGCCTTATCTTACATTCTCATGTTCAAGGACAAAACATTCTGTGATATTGAAGTTGTTTACTCTTAGAAACATTGCCTGCTGACTATTAATGATGCCTGCTAAGGCAAGCACCACTTTTACTATTGCTTATACTTGGAGTTAAGGGTTTTCCAAAATTATGGATGTGAATGTGCTATGGACGTGAATGATACCTCAAATGAAGTGGCTTAAAGAGATGTGGTTTCCTGCATGAATAGACTTTACTTGGTGGATTATGAAACAATCCCATGCTTACACTGGAGGGACCTTAGCCATATCTAGGAACCAGAATATCATAGACACTGGAGTGATTTGAACCCAAAACACTCAAGTAATCATATTCTATTGAGCTAAAAACTACAATACGTAGACAATAGCAATAGCTATGCCATGCCAGTCACCCACAAAACCCTTGCATTTTGGTGCCGAGCACTGTTCTTATTTTCTGAGCTGTTTTAATGGTTGCTACAGATGTGTCTTGTAACAAAACATTTATTTTTGAAAATATAAATACTTAAATACTTTGATTAAACTGATCAAAGGCAAAAGTTACAAAATATGTATATTTCAAATAATGAAATATAAACCTATGAAATATAAACCTTCTAACCTCATTTAAACCTTCTATTTATCAGAGAATCCTGAAAAAAATGTTTCCCCTAAAAATAAAGCATCACAACTGTTTTCAACATTGATAATAAAAAGAAATGTTTTAGGAACACCAAATGAGAATATTAGAATGATTTCTGAAGGATCATGTGACACTGAAGACTGGAGTAATGATTCTGAAAATCCATCACAGGAATAAATTATATATATAAAAAAATTATTGAAAGAGAAAACTGTAAATTTAAATTGTATTAATATTTCACAGTATTACTGTGTCCTGTATTTTTGCTCAAATAAATGCAGCTTTGGTGAGTGTCAGACGTCTTTCAAAATCATTTAAAAATCTTACCAACCCCAAACTTTTGAATGATTTATAATATGGTTTATAAAACAACTTTTATATAATATTTTTTTATTAACATTTGTCAAGTCTTTTGTATGTTTTGATTTTTATATATACAGGAAGCTCCGGTCTTACCCAATGGTTCTTATGATGGCAACCTCCTGGTGAAATCCTCAGGAAAACTCACCCTGCTTCAGAAGATGCTCAAAAAACTGAAAGATGAAGGGCACAGGGTTCTCATCTTCTCTCAGGTATAGTGTTTGGTACTTATTCCCTCTTTTAGAGCTTAGAATACCCTGTGAATAACATTAAAAAAAAACTTAAATACGTGGCGGTCTTGCCTTTATTTCAGTGGAAGATTAATTAGATGGTAAACTGTGAATAGAAAATAAGAGCGGAGCTCATTCATCTTTTAAATGGAGTTGACAAATGAAAAGGCGGGGCCTATATTTATCTCCGCATTATTGTTTAGTCCTTAGACTCTTTTCCCTCCCATTTTAAATTGCTTGTGGAATCACTGCATCCATTAATTTGATGAATGGCACAGGTAAAGGGAGGATGTCTCGATGTGCCTTCATTTTGCCACCCTTTTATTTCCCAAGTGCTTGAAAATAAACAAACATATTAATGTTATGGCATGTCGTATGTTTCTTAAGTCCTTTAAGCTTGATTAAAGAGGAGGACCGTGTTTCTGTCCCCTCTTGTTGTTGTTTTTTGCATAGATGGAATTAAGCATGAGCTGGCAAGCTGAGTTTGCTTAACATTTTGCTTAACGCTGCCATTTGTCCCTTTGTTGAATACCACTGTTATCTTCCTGTTTATGTCTCATCCTGCACTGTTGATCCCTCTCTCAGATGACAAAGATGCTAGATCTGCTAGAGGACTTCCTGGAGTTTGAAGGATATAAATACGAGCGTATTGATGGGGGCATCACAGGGGGACTGCGACAGGAGGCCATTGATCGCTTTAACGGTGAGGATTCCGGCAGTGAAACTGCAGTGATGTCTGTGTGTGTGGGGGATAGTGGATACTAAGGCGCTCTTACTGACTGTCTGTCACCCTGTGTGCAGCACCCGGAGCTCAGCAGTTCTGTTTTTTGCTGTCCACACGTGCTGGAGGATTGGGTATCAATCTGGCAACCGCAGACACTGTGATCATATATGACTCTGACTGGAACCCACACAATGATATTCAGGTAATGCAAACAACAGTGCTGGGAAAGCTACCTTAAACTGTGACATATAATTTAAAATGGTTAAAGTACTCTTTTAAAAAGTATTTAGCTGCGCTGCAAGCAACTACACTAGCTATATATATATATATATATATATATATGATACATTATATTATAGATAGTCATATATTAGACTTTATTATTTAATTATTGCTTTTGTTTTTCTTGCTGTGTTCTTTCTTTTTTCTCTTCATCAATCTTTTCTCTTGGTCCTTGCAGGCATTCAGCAGGGCACATCGTATCGGGCAAAATAAAAAGGTGATGATCTATCGCTTTGTAACTCGGGCATCCGTAGAGGAGCGTATTACCCAGGTGGCCAAACGAAAGATGATGCTGACCCACCTGGTGGTGCGCCCCGGCTTGGGCTCTAAGACGGGCTCCATGTCCAAACAGGAACTTGACGACATCCTCAAGTTTGGCACTGAGGAGCTGTTTAAAGACGATGTGGAAGCCGCCAGAACAATGGGTTAGCTGAAGTGGTTTAAGATAAACATTACGGCACTTTGCTTGTGGATTTTGTGGATTCCAGTAGTTCATGTCCTAAATCTCTTCTGCAGGAGATAATAAAGAAGGAGAGGAGGGCAGTGTGATCCACTATGATGATAACGCCATTTCCAAACTGCTGGACCGTAGCCAGGATGCCACCGAAGACACAGAGATCCAGAACATGAACGAGTACCTGAGCTCATTTAAGGTGGCTCAGTATGTGGTGAGAGAGGAGGATGGAGAGGTGAGATACAGATGCTTTGCTGTTTTTATTAAACAAGGGATGAAAATGAATGCTGGTCAATCCTTTGAAAGTGACTACCTTAGAAATGCTTTATTTCTTTTACTCTTCTATGCTCAAGAGGGCATAGATGTGCAAGTTGCAGCTTCTTTCACAAAAGCTTCGTATTGTGTGGAGGGGCAGCATCAATGTGGCTTTGTTCACATTTTTGACATTTCATAAAAAGTTTTCATTAAAATTCTGACCTGATGCGTACACTACCATTCAAAATTTTGGGGTCACTTAGATTTTTTTTTTTTTTAACTTTAATACCTTTACTTAGAAAGGTTGCAGTAAATTGATCAAAATTAGCAATAAATATATTTATAATGTTACAAAAGATTTATATTTGAAATAAATTATGTTCTTTTGAACTCTATTCATAAAAGTATTCTGGAAAAGTATCCTGTTTTCAGCATTGATAATAAGAAATGTTTCTTGAGCAGCAAGTCAGCATATTAGAAAGATTTCTGAAGGATCATGTGACACTGAAGACTGAAGTAATGGCTGATGCTCAAAAGCAGCTTTGCCATCACAGTAATAAATTACTGTAGCGTCTGGACCAATCAAACACACAATTTTTCATTTGATTTTGTATCACACTTGACGTTGTTCATTGTTTGCTCATAACTGGAGTGACTTAATCATGCAGATTTATGCTACAAGCTCTGTGTAGAGTTGTACAGTAAGAAAGTTATTTCCCTTAACCAGGAAATTAACGTTCTTAGAATTGACAGACAGTTGACCCTGAGAGGTCAAGTAAATATCTACAGTGGATCTAAATATTTGTAATTAATTATAACTAGTTATGATTAATTATTCATATTTCCCCATGAATGAGCTGATTCGCTACATTACATTTTAAAATATTTCACAATATTTCAGAGTGGTAATGTATGTAATTTCATAAAAAGCACAAAACATTTGGAGCTGTGTTTGAATGCACTCATTTTCATTTTCATTCTCTTTTTCTTTTTTGTGACATTCACTATGCAGTGAATGATGAGTGAGTGTTAGCGGTTTTGGACATTAATGTGTAGAAAGTCATTTTTTCTCTCTCATGCTCCTGTAGGGAGATGTCATGATAGACATGGGCAAAAGCAAAATTTTCAGTTTTCCATCCCCATTTCACACTGACAGATACTCACAGTATGAGAAAATCTCCTGGGATCATGCTGATTCTTACATCATTATTATAGCAACCCATGTAGATGCACATCTCTCTGAAGAAACGGATCAGATTTCAGCAATAGCAAAATGACAGACAATAAGTCCTAAAGTGTGGATTTGCTACAATGGTCAAAGTATTAGGGTCCTCTCTATATGTATCATGATAACGCTGTACTATGCTTTGAAGTACCTTGGAGTACCATGGTATATGAATATGGTAATGATTCAGTATAATGGTACATATCAAATTATTATTTTGATAATATCACTGGTACCACCACAGTCCTTTTCTGTTGAAACAAAAACCTGCATTATGAAGGGAAAGCTTCATCCAGATTCAAAATGGGACTAAATAATAAAAAATAAATAAAAAAGAATTATATTATCTCATATACAAATACCAAATGTTTAGGATTATTGTTAGTAAACAATAAATATAATAAGATTAACTGAAGTCGATAATAGGCCTGTGATAAATTATCTGTATTTGTGTGTGTGTGTGTGTGTGTGTGTGTTCCTGCAGGAGGAGGTCCAGAGGGAGATTATTAAGCAGGAAGAGAATGTTGATCCAGACTACTGGGAGAAGCTCTTGAGGCACCATTACGAGCAGCAGCAGGAGGATCTGGCCCGGAACCTGGGCAAAGGGAAACGTATCCGCAAACAGGTCAACTATAATGACGCCTCTCAGGAGGACCAAGGTACCCAAACACAGATGCTGACAGTGCTATAACTCAGTGTAAAACTGTGTATATGAGTCTATCTGAGTTTACAAGCATTCTCTCTCAATCCTGTTCTCAGAGTGGCATGATGATCTTTCAGATAATCAGTCTGAGTACTCTGTTGGGTCCGAGGATGAGGATGAAGATTTTGAGGAACGTCCTGAAGGTAGGCGTCTTTATATATATATATATACATACACATATACATATACACACACACACACACACACACACACACACACACTACTGTTTAAAACTTTGGGGTGAGTATGATATGTATATGTGTGTGTGTATATATATATATATATACTGTATATATATATATATATATATAAATAAATACCTTCATAAATTAATACTTATATTCATCAAGGATGCATTAAATTATAATGTTATAAAATATTTCTATTTAAGCTGTTTTTTTCTCAATTCATTTAATTTATATATTAGAGTAAATAAAAGCATTATAATCGAATATACGTAGATAGATAGATAGACAGACAGACAGACAGACAGACAGACAGATAGATAGATAGATAGATAGATAGATAGATATTTAATAGTTATTTAATATTTTGAATTTTACAGATCTTCTTTATGCACCAAGAGCTTGTAACACTCCAAAGAGAAAGGAAAACTTGAAATCGCATCATATGACCCCTTTAAGGATCATGTGACAATGAAGACTGGAGTAATGGCTGCTGAAAATTCAGCTTTGCATCACAGGAATAAATTAAATTTTTAAATATACTCAAATAGACAACAGCTATTTTAAATTTATTTCACATTTTTATGAAATAAGTGTAGCCTTGATGAGCATAAGAGACTTTTTTTCAAAAACATAAAAAATCATCATACTTGGTATGCACCTAAATGAGTTCCTCTTCCTCCAGGAGGACGCAGACAATCTCGAAGACAGTTGAAGAGCGAGCGGGACAAACCATTGCCGCCGTTGCTGGCTAGAGTTAGTGGTAATATAGAGGTAAATCTTCTTAGAATTTTATGAAAAGAGGGAGTTTGTGCATAATTCCTTTCTTCAGGTGAAGCTTTGGCTGTTTACCTTGTTTTTAACTTGATAGATATAAAGATCTAACTTGAAGTTGATTTTTTTATTTGTGAATAATTTAAATTATTTTCTTTAACATTCTACAGCATTATTTACTTTAAGGTGGATTTTAACCCAGATTTTTATTTGAAAGTAGCAGTGAACATAGAATAAGCAAATTAAACAGGATATAAATCATATATATATATTAGGTTCAGGAGTTTGAGCATGTGAATGGGAAGTTTAGTACACCAGATTTGATTCCTGTAGGATTGGAGCTGAAAAAACTTACTGAAAGTGTGTCGTCGGACCCCAACACACCTGTTCCTGCCAGTCCGGTTCCGACTCAACCCAGCACACCTGTTCCTTTAGGTGTGTGAAAGTGTGTGTGTGTGTACTACACAATGAAACCCTGGTTGTTTGTGAATAACTGGACTGTTACATTTGTTTTTACAGAAAAGACAGAGTCAGTGTCTTGTTCTCAAGAAGACAAGGACATTACAGAACCAGAGAGCACCAAATCGCTGGACCCTGAGGTCAGACTGAAGTCATCCATAAATATCTCCCTTGTCTTTTATTTCTCTTATCCTTATTAAAATCTCTCTCTTCTCACAGAAGCCAGTTATGCCAGAACCCTCCCCTGCCCCAGAGAAAGCTAATGATGGAGAAGAACCAAAAAGCGGAAGTCCTGAAGGAAAAGGAATGGAAGAGAGCGAGAAGAATGATACCCCTTCTGTCCATTCAGAGCCATCGTCCAATCAAGCACAGCCACCCACAAAACCTAGTGAGCAGACAGCCAATCAGACACCATTAGGTGAGGGTTCTTCACTATGCGTATAATGATTCTATAAAACATTTCTCTCAATAAACAAAATATTAAAATATTTTGTTTATTCAAGACTGTGGTAAAGGGAAAGAAACTTCTCCGGAGACAGGGGAAAATAAAGCCAGCCCAGCAAAAATAGATGATAAGGAGCAAAAACCAGGTCAGTATTCGTGGCATTTGTTCATAAAACTTCCAAAAACAGAATGAAAGGGGTGGCCGAGATTCCAGATCCATTTATCTTCAAATTGGCATCTTAAAACACACTTTCCACTAAATGGATACAAAATAACGCCTGAAACTCTTTTTCAACAAATGGTCAGTAAAAGTAGGTGCTTAACCTGAAAATGTTTTTTTAATTATTTTTTTTATTTACTTTTTTATGTTATGTTTTATGTTTAATTTTTATGAAACCCTGTTACCAAAGAATGTTTAAATATAAATGATTTGTGTGATTTTTGTATTTTTCTGGCATTAAAAATTAAAACAGACATCCAAATTTAATAGACAGCATTCAGAAAATAAATATAAATTTGATAAATATATATATATATCTTTAGATGAAATGTTTGAGCTTGACACATGCAGTCAACACTAAAATTTCATCTAAAGATATATATATATATTTATCAAATTAATATATCAACACTAGTCAACACTAAAATTTGTGTAAAAATTGGAATGAGATTTTGGTCAGTTTAGTAATTCTCACAACAAAAGGATTTGATCCATAAGGCTTAAAAAATGAATTGAACACCCTTATTCTCTGCCTTTGCCAAACTATGTAGTTTCTGCAGCCATTCCTGATGATTTAAAATCTGAAGACCCCCCTGAGAACCAATTGAATGGAGAGAAAGACGCGAAGGATGACACGGACGAGAGCCACAGAGATGACAAGAACAGCATCAAGACCCGGTTCATGTTTAACATCGCAGATGGTGGATTCACTGGTGAGTTGTAGTCTTATTGACGTCGTTCTGATTTGTTGTCTCGCTTCGATGGGCATCAACGCATGCACACATACTGTATCATGGACAGCAGATTCAAAATTCTGTGTGAATGATAGCAGAGATACAGAGTGTTTATATGTGTTCAGAATTACACACGCTGTGGCAAAACGAGGAACGTGCAGCTGTATCATCTGGCAAAATGTACGACATCTGGCACCGTCGCCATGACTACTGGCTGCTGGCTGGCATTGTAACGTATCCTCACTGTTCTTTCCATGGCACATCTCTTATCGTTTTTCTTTTTCTGTTGGTTTTGTTCTTTCTCTTCTTTCCTTTTGATTAATTTTTTCTTTCGGACCTTCATGTAGTTGTGAACATAAATGAGTGTGATGTGCCAGTTTGAATAAATGGAATTGGGAATTAGAACTGCATCATTTAATTTCATTCATATAAGTTACACTACTGTTCAAAAGTTTGGGGTAGGTAAGATTTTTTTTATATTTTTAAAAGAAGTCTTTTATTCTCCAAGGCTGCATTTATTTGATCAAAAAACAAAACAGTAATATTATGAAATATTATTACAATTTGAAAGAACAGTTTTCTATGTTAATATATTTTAACATAGAAACAAAAGACAAAACAAATTTTTCAGTAGCCATTATTCCAGTTTTCATTGTCACATGATCCTTCAGATATCATTCTAATATTTTGGTGCTCAAAAACTTTTCTTAACATCAATATTAAATATTCTGTAATTAAATATTAAATAATAAATAATAATTAAATATCAATATTCTGCCTACCATTTTTGTGGAAACAGTGATTCTTTGATGAATAGAATGTTCAGAATTTATTTAAAAGAACAGCATTTATTTGCAATATAAATCATTTGTAACATTATAAATGTCTTTACTTTTTGATCAATTCAATGCATCGTTGCTGAAAAAGTATTAATTTTTAATAATCAAAAAAATACTGACCCAAAACATTTTAACAGTAGTGTATTACTTCCTTTTTCGATGTGTTTTTTTTTTAAATAGTTCACCCAACTTATTCTTTAAAGTGCTGTTCTCTTTCATAGGTTCACTCTACACTGTGAAGTCGTTGCTATGGGAACACCTTCTGTGAAGCCCTTATACCATTACGCCATTTTATTGGCCAGTAGCGCTTAGCACCACCCCAAGAAATACGTCTCATATGCTCATATTAGCATATCGTGCTATGCGCGATTTCATCAGATTTATTTTCCTTCCGGAAGCGGATTATCTGTTGCCCATAGGAAAGAGTTTTTGTCATGTTCTTTGCTACTTTTCAAAGCTGTTACTCCATCCAATTCGGGAAAGGATTGGGAGATCCCGGCTTTGAGTCAAGAGATTTTGTCACTCCTAGAGAAAGGGGCTATAGAAGAAATACCCCCCACTCAGATGGAGTCAGGCTTTTACAGCCATTATTTTGTTGTGCCCAAGAAGGATGGTGGTTTACATCCAATTTTGGATTTACGCTGCATAAATCTTGGGCTCAGAGTGAGCAAATTCAACATGCTGATGTTAACATCCATTTTGTCTCATATCCGAACCGGAGATTGGTTTGTGACTATCGATCTAAAGGATGCGTACTTCCACATCCAGATCATCAAGAGACTCAGGAAATTCCTCAAGTTCGAGGGCAAAGCTTACCAATACTGTGTTCTTCCGTTTGGACTGGCACTGATGCAGCTCTGGCCCTGTTGCGGCTCCAGGGCTTCCGGATTTTGAATTACCTGTACGATTGACTGATATTAGCTCAATCACAGTATTAGGTGATAGCTCATCGAGGCTTGGTACTCTGTCATTTGAGGAGCCTAGGATTAAGCGTAAACCTACAGAAGAGTGTGTTGCTGCCACGTCAGCAAACAACTTTTCTGGGCGTGGACTTGGATTCTTGCACAATGCAGGCACATCTGTCTCCTGCACATGTTCAGTCATTACAGACCTGTCTGAGTCAGTTTAGGGCTTCTAGTCCACGTGGGTTTATGCCGCAGACTGATGGGTCTTATGGCAGCAGCGTCCCCTGTGGTTCAGTTGGGCCTGCTCCACATGAGGCCATTCCAGTGGTGGATAAAAATCCATAACATTTCACCTCACTGCCACCCATTCCACAGCTATGATGACACGCAGAGGTTTTCATGCTCTGTGGTCTCGTACCTGAATCGTCAAGGGGGACTACTTCCTCGACCCCCTGTGCAGATTGGTGAGACATGTCCTTCTTTGGGCACAGACCAAGTTTCTGTCAGTCAGAACGGTTCATGTCCCAGGTTTTCTGAACCTGGGAGTGGACCTACTTTTGAGGCCGGTCTTGGAGCCCGGAGAACGGAGGTTACATCCTCAGGTGGTGAGCCTCAAATGGCAGAGGTTCGGCCGAGCAGAAGTAGACTTGTTTGCTTCAAGAATGACTGTGCATTGCCCGCTCTGGTTCTCCCTGTTTCCTCCGTTACCTCTGGGAGTGGACGCTCTGGCTCAGGAGTGGCCCAGGACCAGAGTTATGCCTTCCCATCGATCCATTTGCTCTCAGTGGTTCTGCTCAAAGTACTTTGCTGGTGGCCCCATTCTGGCCCACTCAGACGTGGTTCTCAGACCTGGTCAGTCTACTAGCTGGCCCTCCTTGGGAGGTTCCCCTCAGGCATGACCTGCTGACTCATGCTCATCACCCCTGTTTTCCCGTTTCATGCAAGGGTCGAGACGGCTTAGGCCTTTCCACCCTGTACAAATTCTTTCATGGGATTTATCTATCTTCCTGGAAGGTCTGGCAGGCCATCCATTTGATCAATTGGAGTCTGTGTCAGAGAAGTTTTTGACCCTGATGACGGTCCTTTTGGTGGCTCTATCCTTTTGCTTCCAGCAGGTGGTCTTGGAGGCTTTTCCCCTTTCTGATGAGGGGATTGGAAGTGATGTGCGACTTCCTAGTCTTTGCCCGGTGAGGATATTGAAAATCTACGTTGACCGCTCAAACCAGTGGCGTAGATCTGACCAATTGTTTGTATGTTTTGGCAGTAAAAACAAGGGAGCTGCTGTCACCTAACAGATAATGTTTCATTGGGTGGTTGAGGCTATCTCTGCAGCCTATGTCGCTTGGCTTCTATGCACTAGAGGAATGGCTTCTTCTCAGGCTCTTTTTAAGGGCTCTTCATTGGATGATATTTGTGCTGCGTCAGGATGGACCTCTTCAAACTTTGATCAAGTTCTACAGACTTGACGTGAGGATGGCTCCCAGGTTTTATCTGCTTGAGTGGACTCTTTCCTCGGTCTTCCAGCTATCTTCAGGTACTTGAAGGCCTTATGGAATATTGTTCCCATAGCGATGGCTTTGCAGCATAAAGTGAACCTATGAAAGGGAACGTCTCGGTTTGTTCCCTGAATAGGGAAAGAGACGCTGCGTCGCCGGCCTTTCCCGTGCATCTCAATTTATCCAGAATCGTGCACCTCTATTTTGCACACAAACAGCTCTTAATTTTTGTTCATGGTATTCAGCTGCAACTAAATGTTTTGCAAAATGAGACACAGAATAAATTGTTTGATATTTAAATGTTTGACTTCATTTTTTTAACCACATTGGAATCAAAACTGGGAATCATTAAGTGGAATCGGAATTGGAATTAATACAATTCAAACGATACACAACCCTAGTAAAACCTTTTCTGTATATGAAGTGAAACCTTAACCAGCTACTCACAGACATGGCTATGCACGGTGGCAGGACATTCAGAATGACCCACGGTATGCCATCCTCAATGAGCCTTTCAAGACTGAAATGCACAAAGGGAACTACTTAGAAATGAAAAATAAATTTCTCGCCAGACGTTTTAAGGTACAAGTTATTATGTGTTTTATTTTAATTAATTAAAGTGATCTTTTATATTCACACATTCTTCATTCACATTTTAGCTCCTGGAACAGGCTTTGGTAATTGAGGAGCAGCTACGGCGCGCTGCATACCTGAATATGACTCAGGATCCCAGTCACCCCGCCATGGCCCTCAACACACGTTTTGCAGAGGTGGAGTGCCTGGCTGAGTCCCACCAGCACCTCTCCAAAGAGTCCCTTGCTGGTAACAAGCCAGCCAATGCTGTGCTGCACAAAGGTGATTTTCTAAAAACATAACAAACAACCTGATGCTTGGAACTGCCCCATATTGCTTGCTGTTAACCACAGTAGCTTTATAAACCAAACATAAACTAAATGTACATTACTGTTCAAAAGTTTGGGGTTAGTAAGATTTGTTAATGTTTTTGAGAGAACTGTCTTATGCTCACCAAGGCTGCATTTATTTGAACTACAGTAAAAACAATAATGCTGCAAAATATTACAGGTTAAAATAACTGTTTTCTATTTTAAAATGTTATTTATTCCTGTGATGGCAAAACTGAATTTTCAGCAGCCATCACTTCAGCCTTCAGTGTTACAAGATCCTTCTGATATCATTCTAATATGCTGATTTGCTGCTGAAGAAACATTTCTTATTATTATCAATGTTGAAAACAGTTGTGCTGTTTTTTTGTAGCATTCTTTAATTGAAAAAAAGCTTTTATTTGAGAAATATTTTATAACATAAATGTCATTTTGTCACTTTTGATCATTTTCATGTATCCTTGCTGAATAAAAGTATTAATTTCTTTCAAAAACAAAACAACAAAAACTTACTTGGGCGTGTTTAAACTATCCCTTTTTATGTTCACTGGTGTTGTTTTAGTGTTGAATCAACTGGAGGAGCTGTTAAGCGATATGAAGGCTGATGTGACACGGATTCCCTCCATGCTTTCGAGGGTCCCACCCGTCTCTGCCCGGCTCCAGATGTCAGAGCGGGGCATCCTCAGCAGGCTCACCAGCTGGGGCAACGAGCCGCCACCTCAGCAGGTCAGCATGACATGTCTTTTGCCATATGTGTAGTCCATGTAAGATGAATAATAGATGAGCCTCATGTGGATGAACCTTCATGTAAGAATGTTTTGTTTCATCTCCTCTCAGCCTTTCCCTCAGGGCTCTTTCGGCTGTTCTCAGATGTATAATAGCAGTTTCGCCGGAGGGTTCCGTGGACCTGGAGGCACTGCGATGGTGAACTACAGCCAGATGCCCCTGGGGCCGTACGTCAGCGGTTAGTGGCCTACATTAGCCTTGAAATGAAGAACACGTAATAAATTCCTATTGATAGTTTTCACGTGACGTCACACCCTTATAGGAACGCCCACCTGGAGGGCAAAACGAAGCTTTGCTCCACTGACCGCAAGTTATTTTTTACGCAGTTTGCATTAAGTTGTAATGTAGTAAAACGCAGATATTAAAAGGCGAAATTCAGTAAACACCTTATTGATTATGTATATTTTGTACAGGCAAGCAGATGAAGCCAGAATATAAATGCAATGTGCAAAGTTTCACGTTAAATGGTTTCCCATAGAAAACCATTAGAAGGAAAACACTGAACCATTAAGCGGATTGCATTCATATTCCGGCCTCATCTGCTTGCCTAATGCTTATGTAAGCTATGCATCATTAATATAGAGAATATTACTGTTTTTAAATATATTAAGGCACTTTAAATGTTTTTACAAAGTTTTGTCGCACTATTTAATGATTTAAATATTGCCGCGGGTGCTTAATATGGATTGCAAATGGCCAAAACTTGCATTTTGTTCACATACCTTTGTTTTATTCTTTTGAGAGGTGATCTAAATATTTGCGGTGTTGAAACAGATGGAAAATTGACAGGCTTGTTCTGCAGTTCTATGGATGTGTTGCCCTCCAGGTCTTCGAGCCGGTCACGTGACTGAAAGCCACAGTTAGACTAGTGCATAAATATCTACATTAATATCTAGGGATATTATCTAGTCTAGGGAAAGCAGTGTGAGAACAAGACGTATCCACTGAGAAAGTAATTAAATAGGTATATATGGGTATATATATTAATATATGGAAATATAATGCTGCTGTTCTATAATGCTTCTTTTTAGTGTCCTCAAACGGACCTCCGGCCCCAACCAGCCACCTGGAGAAGAAGTCCAGTGATGCTCTGCGAGATGTGGCCACCCCTGATCTGAAATCAAGCAAACCTAGCGATGTTATATGCATTGAGGACTAGCCCGCAGCTGTTCCGTCCTCTTTCTATACAATACCTACAGACAAAACCGTGGAGAACTCCTCCAAATGATGAATATTAAACAGCAAACCTTATCAGTTGCACTTTTGTCTTTCAGAATCTGTACATGTACGCGCCTGTAAGTTTTATTCGGTAGAGTTCAGTTTCTCTTTCATTCTTTTTTATCTTCTGCGATACGATAGTCTTGATCGATCAAGGAAAGACTAAGGACGCTTATGAAGAGGGCACCCACTGTTCTGACAGTCCTCTGAGCTTAGCCTTTTTTTTTTTTTTTTTATATAATTTGAATTATTATTCTTACATCATGGCTTGTTTTTCTTGATGACTATGAAGAACATTTCCATCTCTGCTAACGTTGAGCCATCTGGAGGTGCAACTAGTTCCTGGCCAGTTCAAGGGCCAGATGTCCCCACCTCTACAGCCTGTGCTTTGCTCCTGGCTCTGCTCATGGATTGCGTATTGTTGCTACCCCTGCAGGTAATTGCTGTGTAGTGCACCTAAACACAGAATAGTGCAATGACTATAATTTTCTCTGGAAAACTTCAGATAATTTTACAGTTTGCCAGCACTAATGTTTGATATTTGAATTGTACTGGATTGTTTTTAGTTTACATTCCCCTTTAAAAAAGAAAAAGAGTGTTGTCCATGAAGGTTTAAAGGTGCTTTCAGTATTTTTTATTTTAAAAAGTTCTGAGACATTTAAAACAGTGTACAATTAAAATTGGCAGTAGCCTAAGAAAAAGCTTATTTACATAGAGTCGGGCTGCCTCTTGTTAGATCACATGACGTACTAAATAATACTCACTAAACAAAAATTACCGATTGCACCTTTAAAGGACAGAGCAGTATTAAATCAATGGCAAATGGAATGTTTCATGAGCTAATACTTTGAAAATCTTGGAATGTTTCATTTTAAATGCAACGTGAACTCTATTCACATCATCTGGCAAGCTGTTGAATACCACAAAAAAATATCCCTCGGTTTGTAAAAAACAACAAAATGCATTCATAGTAATTCATTTGCAGAGGAAATGAACGGAGCAAATGCTGCCCACAATTTCGTATGTCTGGAAATTTTTGGTAACATATAAAGTAGTCTCACAATTGATATATTCAGTTGTTTTATGTAAATTCGATTTAATTTAAATTTAATTTTTTAAATGTTTAAATTTATAAATATATAAGTCATGCAGGTGCTTCAACACAATACAAGTTTCACATTTCTGGTACAATGCATCTATGGTTGATTTTACAAAGTGAGGGACAAGCCGAAATTATATATTATATACTATTATTATTTTATATTCATGCTATCAACAGCATGTCTGGAATATTTCTGTTTTTAATTTCTGGAACAAAGTAAATTCTGCTCTACAGGGATATTTGTGCATTGTTTCTACCATGTTCCTCACATTCAGATGCTTTTAATTTGTAAACTTAATTCTCCATATTTTTGTATTATCACATCCTTTTGTCAGATGCATTTTGCTTGACATTTTGTGAATTGCTGTGAACTTGGACCCTAATAGCTCTGGTTTTACTAAGCCAAGTTTATGGATAGTATTGACATGATTGTTCTGGTGCCATAAGTTGTGTGGATATGGATTGTTTTTGTTTCAATTTGAAATATGCCTTGTGTAACTGTTTTTAAGCAGCGCACTTTAAATGGAGACCAGATGTTTCAAACGCAGTAGAAACCTCTTTCAATAACTTGTATACTCCGTTTCAGTCTGCGGTATTAGTCATGTTGATGTAGATGGAGTATTTTGTTTGTTTTCTGCATCTCAGCAGCAATGTAAATGGCACTTAAGTGTCATGGCTGACCGTAAACGTGATCATAGCTTCCTTTGCTGTAGTTTTGATTTGAGGGGTTCAAAATGATCATGTGTAAACTACGAATGTGGGAAAAA